GAGAGTGAGAATTGAGATGAGAGGCAAAGCATCATAAACAATAACCAGGTCCAAATTGTGGTCAACAAAATTAGTGGGACTATGATTAAAAAGATTAGAGCAACAAAAGAGAGAGGAGACAAGAAAAGCTAAACCAGAAGACTAAGAATGCAAGCCAATATGAAAATTGAAGTCCACAAAAGTGCAAAAATAGAAAAACAAAAAATGTCATCTGTCTGATGAAGGAAAAGTAATATGGGTGAAAAACCCATTAGTAAGGCAGAAGTAGAGTAGACCAATTAAGTTAGTGGAGATTTAGTAATTCAACCCCTCCATAAATTCCATTCATTCAAACAGCCTTCTCTAGTTGAGAGTTAATACTGGATTTCAGTCATTCTCCTCCATCATTCCCAAGTGGTTGGGGAAAGACCTAGTAAGATTTGAAGCTGCCTATGGAGAACTCAAACAGGAAGGAATGGAAAATATGCTAGCTGTCCCAACCACTGCCCAACTGCCCCATGACTACTAAAACTAGCATTCTATAGGATAGCTTCAATCTGCAAGATTTTGCAGTATTCTAATCCAAGCAGTTGTGGTACGATTTCAGATATTATACTCTTTGTTGTCTGAATGGGTCCTGCCTGTTCCCTACTGCACTGTAACACACTGCTAACTTGTGAAAAATCTAATAGCATATACTTTAAAGACAGGCTTTCTCTTCCTCTGTAGCGATGACAATAACTTGCTAGAGGCAGAACTGCGCAAAGCAGACAAAGGGTTCATATCTGAAAAGCATTAAATTAAAACTCTCTCTTATAAGCAGATGTGCACATCAGGACAAAAAGTTACAAACTTATGAAAAATACTTTTTCTTATGGAAAAGGATCTGTTCATCTGCAACTATGGATACCTGAATACACCAAAACCTTTAGGTTTAGAAATTCAAAAGGTCTAGTGAGTACAATAGATCCATACTTAAGTTTAGAAGAATATAGAATTGCTGGTTTTTATCTCCTTGATTTTCAACAACCATTTAGGGATCACTCAGTCTTCTTCTTTTGAGACCAACAAGGATTTTTCTAATCATTTTTAATGGTCTCAGAGAACTATGTCTCTGTAAGCAGAGCTCTGAATGGAAAATTCACACTATTTCCCCAGAAAACCTATTCTACTTAATCTATTAATGCTTCAAGTCCATGGTAGGCAAGAAGGAAGACAGATATTTCTGATTGTACTAAATGTTTTCCTTTGTCAATTGGACTTTCACTTACTATACTACATGTGTATTACCAATTTTTTTTTCATCTGATGATGTAGGACTGGCGAGAGTCCCCCTGTTTGCATGAGTGGCTCTCCACCTCCCCAAGAGTAACGGTGAGATTTTCAACCAGCAGGTTACTTGTGGACTCAGAGAAGAAGAGGCAGGCAATGTCTTTGAGGTCACAAGTGTAGCCTTGGCAGGACTGTGATTTAAGAAACAGAGTGACGCAGGGCGGGAGGACTGTTGGGTGGATGCTGTGGACTGGGAGGTGTGCGAGGTGCAGGAGGTACTATTGGTACTGGAGAAGTTGAAGGCTGGATGGGAGACAGTCTGCTTCTGCAATCCTGAGCTGCTGGGTCAAACTGCTAGTGCCACCAGGAGGCTGGAGAACCAGTGATGAGCCCACTGCTGACAGAGGAGGCAGCAGGGGCAAGTGGCCCTACCACAGAAAACCCACCACATCTCCTCCCTACGAGCATCCTAAAGGACACCCTCTGGTTGCCCCTCACTCCACACCCTGCCACCTGGGAGAGACCAGCCAGCTCCCTGCAGAGTTTGGCCATGCCTTCCAAGAGGACTACCATATTTATGGAATGGTAGCTGCCAGTGGGCATAGTGGGGGACGGGGCCTTTGCCATGTGCTTCCAAGGACTGCTGCCCACCTGCATATTCTGCATATAGCCTGGCATACCTATGGGGTGTCCTGGAGCTAGCAGAGGAGGCGAGACAAGACAAGGCTCCTCCCAGTAAAAGACCTTTGAGGGGCATGTTCCAAAGGACTATGGGAGTGAAGTTAGCTCTCTGGCAACCCAAGCTAAGTTTTATAGTTTGGCCTGTTGCTCGAATAAAGAGCCTGTCCCAGCAGCTGCTCTCCATATCGTCATGGAGGGGTGGGGTGGGGCCACTCACAAATGGTCACAATTATCATTATTTGAATATTTAAACTAAAATCACTTACTGTAGCGAACACCCCTCTCACCTGTCCGTCACCGTAGAACATTGAAGCAGAAGCCAATGAGTGAACGGAAGGCGAAGCCAAGGGGGGAGGGAGCTGGATAAAAAGACTGGTGGATGGAGTCTGAGAGAGGAAGAGCGACTGTGTGTGGCTTAAAAAGTGAGAGAAGAGTGAGTTAGAGGATTGTAAGAGAATAGATTAAAGTAGAGGGTTAAGAGAGTTTTGAAATAGTATCCAAACTGATTCAATTGAAAGTGATTTGCAACCTGTGATTTACCCCACAAAGATTTATTGATTATCAACTTCCCTAGTTAAATAAAGGACTTATGTTTTGTTAACGCATGTGTCTCAATACTCAATTGATATTAAAGTATTAATATCTGGTGGCAGCGAAGAAGAAAGAAGAACGAGAACCTCGTGAAGGCCTGGGGGGATCGCGACACTTACCAATTAGGGTGTCCGCAGAAATAATTGTGAGAGTTGGAGGTGGGACAAAGTTAATAAATGATACCTATGGATTGCTGACCTGTTTGTAGTTTTACCAGTGTTCATTTAAAGAAATGCCAGCCTTAGGACAGGAGAGGGGAACACTCATGCTCACCAAGACATTGGTTCATACTGCCAGTGAGAACAGATAAGCATATCATATAATCACTGTCCACCATTTGTTTATTTTGACATCCAAATATGGGATTTTGGCTTACCTCTCAGCAGAGTTATACACCATAGACTGGGAAGAAATCATGCAAAATATCCAGTTCAGATATCAAGATAAACAAATCGCATACAGAGAGTCTGCAGTTTGCTCATCTGTTCAAGCAGGCAAAAGAAGACCAGCAAATACTATCAGGTGGTATAAGCATTCTATTCCTAAATGGTAAAACAAGGTTCCTCTGGAGATCTAAGTTGTCATGATATACATCATCATCATCATCATCATCATCATCATCATCATCATCATCACCCCCCCCACCACCACCACCACAACAACAACAACAATAATAATAAATGTGCCATGAAGTCAATTCTGATCTGACTTATCCCTTTTCATGGTTTTCTAGATATAGTGAACACAGAGGTGGTATACTATTCCCTTCTTCTGGGGGCCTTGGGGGACTCTGTAGCTTGCCCCTGGCCACACAGGTTGGCTCTGTTCACAGGAGGCTCACTGAGGAATTGAACTCCCAACCTCTGGCTCCGCAGCCAGATACCTAACTCACTGAGCTATCCAGCCAGCTCATGAGATGCAAAGTGATCCAGAATCATTTGGCCGACATAACAACATCACTGATCATCTGAAAGAAAGGTTACTTATAATTACTACTGGCTGTGTTGGCATATAACAATATGCCAAGACACTTGGATTAATAAACCATGATGTGACTACATATAAATTATATTTTTCCTACAAGATGTTTCCGTTCTCTTTTTAAGTATGTACAGTGGACCCTCGACTTACGAAGGTCCCTACTTACGAAAAATTTTAGGTACAAAAAGCTCTGGCCGTAAAGTTTTAGTTCCATTTGCGGCTGGAGCTTCGACCTATGAAAGGGGGGGAAAAGGGTGGGAAATTCAAAGCCGCCCCCGCTGCCCTCTGCCTACCATCCCTGCTGCCCTCTGCCTTCTGCCCCCACAGGGACAGAAAGCAGAGGGCACCAAGGATGGGAGACAGTGGGCAGTGGAGGCGGTTGTGAAGCTTGGGAAGCTGAAAGCTGGCGGCAGGGTTGCTCAGAAAGCCAGCAGCGGGACAGAAGGCAGAAGGCACCAGGGATGGGAGACAGGGACAGTGAAGGGAGTTGTGAAGCCAAGAGCTGGCAGCAGGGGCGGAGCGGCTCAGAAAGCCAGCAGCAGGGGCAGAGCGGCTTTCGGCTTCCCGGGCTTCCAAAGCTGCACCCACTGCCCTCTGTCTCCCATCCGTGATGCCCTCTGCCTTCTGTCCACACAGGGACAGAAGGCAGAGGGCACCGGGGACGGGAGACAGAGGACAGCGGGTGCAGCTTTGGAAGCCCAGGATTTTTTTTCTTTGCCTGGAACAGATTAAATGGTTTTCAGTGCATTCCTATGGGACATGGACCCTCGACCTATGGACTTTTCGACCTGTGGCCACCGTTCCAATACGGGTTAATTCCGTAAGTCGAGGGTCCACTGTATACTGAGAACATGCGCTGTGGATTGTAGTGCAAATAAGCAGAGCCTGGCAATTGCAGGTTTGAATTGAAACCATTATGTTTTAAAATTTTTGATTGCTAGCACATGTGTGATATATTAGTTCTATCAAGCATAAGAGATTCCAATACTGAAACAGTGAGGATAACATTAGCAATGAAGAGTTCATGCAGGTTGCAGCTAATACTACACAATCTTCCAATGATGTATTACACTCTGCTAGCTTTTTTCAACTACTTAACATCAGACCTAAGTATTTTCATGCTGGTCACAAATGCAGAACAAAACAGAGCTTGAAAGAATATGAACTCAGTGAGTGGTGTCACGGTGTGAAGATCACCTTGTGTTACTGCCCAGCAGACTAATAATAAATTTAATTAAAATCTACACAGAACTACTACCAAAGGGAAGTAAGCCCATCCTCTACAATGAGTATAAAGGTTAAACTAAAGAAAGAAATGCTTGGTGTTAGAAGGAAAGGGAAATTACCTCTCTGTAAATTCTTCACTAGGGATGCTTTTCCCAGACAGCTCCTCTTCCAGTCTTTTTCTTTCTGTTTCCAGATGCTCCAATTCATCTTGAGTACGTTTACGTGGGGTGACAAATTGAAGCTCCTTCAGCAGTTCTTCCTTTTCATTAATCAGCATCAGTTTTTCCTTTTCAATATCCAGTGCCCCAGGCCAAGCTTCACTATCTATCTTAGACAGTTCAATCTTTATGTTTGCCATCCTAATATATATAGAGGTAGACACATTGAGGGAGAGAAAGGATGAGCAATAGGCACCTTAATCAGTCCAAGAATCCGTGGTTTAACAGAAACATATGTTTAGACAGGGCAAATCAATATGATGTAAGTATCAGCATCAGAAACTTGAAGCCCGTTGTAGCAAGTATGTCGTTGTGATACTTTAATTTATTTATTTAAAATTCTGTTACCATGTCTTTCTCCTTACAAAGGACCCAAGGCAGCTTACATCATTAGAAGATAATATTTAAAGCTTAAAATAGTAAGCATGGATATACTAATACCACACAAAAAGACAGCAAACAAAAGTACCACAAAAAGTATTAAGGTACAACCATCCATTTAACAACCCCTCTCAGGCAGCCAGTCATTAAGAGAATGTTTGCCTGAAGAGAAAGGTCTTTGCCTGCTAGCAGAAGGATGGAAAAATGGGGCCAGCCTGGCTTCCGGTGGGAAAGAGTTTCAAAGTCTGGGAGCAGTAACATGTCCCCACCAAACACACCTGTGAGGATCATGTCCTCACTAAACACACCTGTGAGGATGGTGGAACCAAGAGAAAGGTCACTCCTGATTATCTTAACAGATGGGCAGGCCAATAAAGGAAGATGCAGTCACTGAAACAGCTTGAACCCAACCTATTTAGGGTTTTATAGGTCAGAACCAACACTTTGAATTGTGCCCAGAAGCAGATCGGCAGCCAGTGGAGATGCTGTAATGGGGGTTATATGATCCCTTGTCAAGTCCAAGTTAGTAATCTGGCAGCTGTGTTTTGGAACTAAAAGCAAAAGTGTGCTGCTTATATACCGCCCCATAGCATTTCAAGCCCTCTCTGGGCAGTTTACAAGTTAATTATGCAGGCTACACATTGCCCCCCTCCCAGCGAGCTGGGTACTCATTTTACCAACCTTGGAAGGATAGAAGGTTGAGTCAACCTTGAGCCGCTACCTGGGATTGAACCCCAGGTCATGAGCACAGTTTTGGCTGCAGTACAATGGTTTAACCACTGCGCCACGAGGCTCCTGAAGTTTCCAAACACTTTCCAGATGTAACCCAGCAAAGAGTTCATTAAAGTAGTCCAGCCATGATGTAACTAAGGCATGTGTCACTGTGGTCAGATCAGACCTCTCCAGGAACAAGCTGTGCAAAGGCACTCCTGGGCACCACCGAGACCTAGGCATTCAGGCTCAGAGAAAAGTCCACGAGCACCCTCAAGATGTGTTTTCAGAGTGTAACCCCATCCGGCACTGGCTACATCCCTGTTCCTTGATCAGTTTTTCAGGCGGCTAGGAGTACCTCTGTTTTATCTGGCTTCAGTTTCAGTTTATTCACCTTCTTCCAGTCCATTACTGACACTACATATTGTTTTAGAGCTGAAACAACATCCACGGATTTAGATGGTTAAGGACACAGGGAGAGAGTTGGGTATCATCTGCATACTGGTGACACTGAACCCCAAAACTGCAGACAACCTCTCTTATTGGTTTCATGTAGACGTTAAATAGCATAGGAGACAAAACAGAACCTTGTGGCTTTTTGTAACACATGTTGTGTTAGACCAGATGACACAGATTCATGCACTAACCTCTGCATGGTGGGAAGCAAATGCAGGAGCGCAATTCAACTTCACTCCACTCCAGCTGACTTGCCTGCCTCAATTGCAATGTTATTAGATGCTCATTCAAAAGCCCACTAGAGTGGGGCCCACACATGTAAATCCAAAAAGTATAGGCTGAAGTCACATATATGATACCTATCCTTAATCTAATGAGTCAACCATATTATATAGGTCCATGCACAAAGTCTACATCATAGACCCTGATCAATAATTATGACTTAATAGGAATGAGTGGTGTGATATACAGAGTAGAATGGCATCATACAGAGAAATTCTATGTCTAATTTTGTTTTTCCTGAGATTTCTATTTTGGTTTCCCTTTAGCAAGATCTTTGATTAGCCTTATGAGTTCTGTTATTTTTTTCTTTTTTCTTTTATCCAACTAGCTGTTTTAAAATCCTTCTAAAATTCAGTTTGCAATCTTTTGCACTGTAATTTCCTTTTGATTTCTTTTAGATCAGTGGTTCTCAACCTTGGGTACCCAGGTGTACTTGGACTAAAACTCCCAGAAGCCTTCACCACTAGTTCTGCTGGTTAGGATTTCTGGGAGTTGCAGTCTAAGAGTATCTGGGGTCATTGTTTTAGAGATCATTATCTACAGTAGAAACATAATTTTTGAGGGGGGGGAATCATCACTTTGGATTTAAAATTTTGTGTGTATGTGCACAAAGGCCATTGTGGAGAAAAGTGAGTTTGGAGGCTCAGGGTTGATCATGGAATGCCATAGATTTATTCTCTTGGTCACTAGTTCAAATATAGCCAACCTTCGTATTACCTGAAAATAATGGTTTCTGACAGGTGTGCAATGATTTATAAGATGAAGTGGTAGTCTCACAGGGGCTTCTCCCCACTCTTCAATGCTGTTGTTTGCTATTGCAACTGACATCCTTTCAATTAGCCATTTTATTTAAAAGAGCCTACGCTAACACTAAAATGTCCTCTTAGGCTTTGAGACAACATCTTTTTACCACTGTCAAGACACTTAACATACTTTAATACTGTACTTCTTCTCTGTGAATTACAATTTTAGCCACCTTGACGAGCACAATTTGTCAACACTTGCCTTCATTTTAAAAGACAGATTTTATAATATGCTGAAAGATTTGTTTGAGGTCTTTGGAAGTGTTCCAGAAAGTATACTCCTGCCTTCTTAAAATGCTGAGGAAGGAAGGGAGCCAGCTAGCCGAAATAATACTTCCCACGGTGCTGCATGCTTTAACTAGGCCTTGACCGGTCTGCTTCTAAGCCTATCTCCAAATTCCATACATCTTGCAAGTACTTTCTTGGACCATCACCCTCTGATTTGTCCCTGTCCATTCGGATGTGATGTCACTCTTTCCTAGTCTACCTTGTACAGCTTCCTTAACATAGTCTGCAACAAGCCTATCTTTGCTTTCTCTGCCTTACTTGCACTTTTATACATGAAATCTCCATTATTTAGCTACAGGCTGGGAGGGTGTCCTTATGATCCACAGCTATTAAATAACAGAGACAGAACAAACCTGAAACTGGATTGTGTTCACAAGCTACCATTAGTGAGAATTCTTTTATATGCAACCAATCATTACAAGATGTTGACAAGGAGTTCTAAAAATGCTGTAGCAGTTGTCTCACTTACCCTTGCTCTACTTTGCAATGACTGATATTTCTGAAATTCTCCTAATTTTCTAAAATGGCTTCCCATGCCAGGTGGGAAGTTATTGTTTGTTGTGTCTATGTTTGTATTTTAATGTCCAGCACTTTACTGGCTATGTCAAGTTAATTCTGTATTCTTCAGTTCTGATTAAGTAGTTTGTGGATGGAGCCTCAAGTGTTCTAAAGTATTAAAGTCTCCTTTTAGGGCACTTAATTCACATATTACATTTTCTTGTCATTAGAATCTCTCAGTCATATGGTAACGTCTGAACTGTAATGTTAGGATTTATTTTACTATTAATACACAGTCCAGGAAGCTCAATAGATATCGTAAGAAAAATTCTAGTCTCCTGAATTTGCACGTTCAGTATGGTCTACATTCTCTTGCTTATAAGAAGCTGTAATTTTTTTTGTTTCTGCTGTTCTCACACTTGACAAATATTTATATGATTTTCCCACCCAGATCTCCTAACACTCAAATAATTAAGACTGTGCAGGATAGAAAGAATACAAACAACTGATCCCAAACCCACATATAAATGTTTCTTCTAGAGACATCCAGTAGATGTCACTGCAAGCATTAGCTTGACTAAGGAACTTCAGAAACTCAGATACAATCTCACATCTTAACAAAGAAATGAATGTTGTCATCATTACCTTCTTTTGGCATCTTGGTACTGAAGGCTCAGTCTGACCTTCTCCGCTAAATTGGACATGTTCCTGACACCAGCCTGTTGGCAGAATCACCAAACTTATTGCACAAATCAATTAAAATAAAAAAAGTGATCTAATTACTCAACATTCTCTAAATCAGTAGCAACACCTTTCTAAACAGTAATCATTGGCTCTTCAGCACAAACACTCATAATTACTCACATATTTTCAAATGGAACCTACATTTGTACTCCTAAATCACTCAGGGACAGCATTAAGCACAAGCAGGTACAATTCTGTTTAAGGCTTACTTTGAAGCAATGTTTAATACATCCCAGGTTGTTACTTACTACTTTGAACTCAGAACTTTGGTGGAGATCAATGAAGTTCAAAGTAGGACTTCAATGGAACTGAGATTGCTAAAAACCACATTCAAGTTTGGACTTCTTCTCAGAAAATCCTAGTACAATCACTTCTACAGCCTTTCATCATGCTACCTAAAAGAAATATGCCAGCATTTGGAAAACATTTGTGGATACAAACCTATGGCTGGTATATCGGTCAATGAGATCCCAAAGATTGTTAAGCTAAAATGTTAATTCCATCAGTCAGTTTCAGATGTACAAAAACATTTTTGATGAAATCTGTGCTGACCAGTTTTTATAATAACAAACTCATGGGAAAATGATTTACACTTCAATTTTCCATGAGTTTATCATTATAATCTTTCAGGGGGAAAACAGTTTATTGAGTGAAAAAATACAAAATAATAATTGAATTCTTGTGTACTACTGAGGAGGGCTTTCCTAACCGCTTCATTCTTACATAAACCTTCAAGCCAAAATAGCTTATAAAAGACTTCCACAATTTTTACAGAAAATTACCCCTGACAAAGGTATTTAAAATGTACTTCCTCCATGAATATTTGTTATTAACCAAAGGACAATATTACTTTTTTTGAAGACATACCACATTCTAAATACTCTAACAGAATATTAGATTCCCTAATCATTTTTCTCATCCTGTTTTCTACTACTTCATCCCCATTACTTCTGACATTGCTTTTTGGCAATCAGGCAACCATAAGAAAATTCTAGGAACAACATTTATTTTTATAATTACAAACAGTATGCCTCTGAAATCTAGCCTTCAAAATTACAAAAGTACCAAGTGCATGGGACAATATGCTCAGAAGAAAAACATTTATGTACATAATACTCTAGCCATCTTGACTAGCAAGATGCCTAGCAACACACAGCTGCTGGTCATTTGATTCAAATCCCTTCAAGAATATTCTGCTGCTAAATTTTCCCTTCACCACCTTAAAAAGAGATGAAAAACTTACATCACCAGAAATGTCTGTCTGAGATCCTGCTTCCAAAGTCTGTCTAGAGAGAGAGAGCTGAGAGTTTGTTGGGCTGCACCTCAGATCTGTGTCTGATCTGTCAATAGTGTGGTCAAGAAAGAACCTCTCTCTCAATTTTGCAAGACTCTGAAATAAAAAACAAAAAGAAGTCAGGATTATATTTCATTATAAAAGATAAACACCCAGCAAAGAATCTACAGGTGGAATGGAAAGTGTGTCTACTATATGAAGAGGCAGCCAAAGATGTATATCAAGGCCAGAAGCAGACCTCAGAAGTAGACCCTGAGTGGGAAAGGGAAATTCTTAAGTAACAAAAGCATCTAAGTGTCACAGCATTTTCACCTCTAACCCCTGAATTATGCAGATTCATTTGCTTTGTTCTGTGACTGGTCTTCACAGGATTCCTTTGAAATTTGATTTCACAGACCTGGAGAATCCACCTCAAACACTGATAAACAACAGGAACAGGCTTCCAGCTCTATCTACAATGCCTGTTTCTGGCTCAGTGCTTTCTCAATCCACATAGGAAATCAAACAAATTCAAGGTCAATGTTTCATTTAAAAACAACATATTTTCAAAACAAAAAACTATGCACATATCACAAAAATAAACTATTTCAAGGAGGGCAAAAGAGTGAATCATGATTACCTAACAAAGACAAGGTACAAATGGTATTAAAATACCTGAATTAAATCTTGCTTCTCTTTCTCACCAGAAATTATGGCCTTTCTGATAGACTTCAATTCATTCACAATGGCTTTGGCTTCACTTAGTTCATACCCACTCTGGCCTCCAGACATTTTTTGGTCAATTCTGTTAAACAGAGACATTGATGGTAACAGTACGTACTAAAGAATGCGATTCCCGAAATTTATGAGAAAACAGTATTGAGGTAATTCTCAAAATACTATCTCCAGCATCAAAGTAGTTACCTACAAGAAGAATAGAAAAGGAGACTGAAGCTCCTTAATCTTGCCAGCAATATACTGTCTCAAACACACTCATTTAGCTGACACCGATTTCTTCAATGACGTCTCTCTTTCAAAGCAAGATAGTTTGGAAAGCCCTATAGATTTTGCTGCAGTAATTCAACAGTCTGAGACACTTTAACAAATGTTAAACTGTCTTGGCAAAGTAATCTGGAAATTAAAAATGCAATCATTATGTAAATTTATGGGGGAGTAAGACCCAGCGAACACAGTGAGTAGTATCCTATTGCTTTGTACTGTGCATTCAAAGTTGCATTGTTATCTGCACTGCAATCTTCTGGAAGATTCCACAAAAAAGTTGCAGTAGGACCCCTGTATTCGTGGATTGGTATTCATGATTTCACTTATCCGTGGTTTGCTGCAGCCATATATACAACATATAAGGGTGCCCCCTTGTGGCCTTTGTGCCATCCCTAGTATGTTGTATAAAGGGTTCCCTCATATCTGTGGTTTCTGACATCTATGGTAGATTGTGGAATTGGATACTCATGGATAGAGGCAGTAGGTACAGGATCCTACTGTATCTACTGCCTCTATCCATGAGCATAAACCCCACTGAAAATAACAGGGTTCGCTCCAGCTTGTAGAATAGCAACAGGAGACTGAAGAAGCTTCTACATTCCTCCTGCAATGAACAGGACCTGGCAAGTGGTTTTTACATCTTAGTAGATGAAAAAGGTTGCACTGTTTTTTGAAATACAGTGGAGTCTCGACTTACGGTCGTCTCCACTTACGAACTTTTTGAGATCCATACTTCTCCGGCCGCAAATTTTCACTTCGACTTGTGGCTGCGAAATCGACCTATGGACCAGAAGAGGGAGGCGGGGAAATCGTCAAATTCAAATTTGGCGCTTTCCCTGCCTCCCCTTTCCAGTCCATAGGCCGCAGATCTGCCTCTGGATGCCTTCTTTTCACATTTATTTTAATTTTGTGTGTGTGAGGGGGTGTTTCTCGGTTACAAATTAATTGGTTTTCAATGCATTCCTATGGGGAATGCATTTTCGACTTGAGCACTTTTCGATCTACAGACCCCATTCCAATACGGATTAATTCCATAGGTCGAGACCCCACTGTATCAAAGGAGAATCAGACACTTTATTTTCTTTCTTGATAACTTCCCAAATGCCAAGGTTACAATTTAGTATCAACACTATCGAAGGAAAGAATGACTTTTATTATTGTTTGCTTCTTAATTTGCTCCCTTCTTTTGGATTTCCCTCTGTACTTCAAACTATATGATTTCCTATTAATTAAGAAGTGCTCTGAGCTATAAGTCTTGGAGGGAAAATACAGACAAAAGAAAATAGCATTCATTTTTTTCTAGTCCTGTCTTTCTCTAGACACAATAGCTGTTCTGCTTCCACAGGTGAATATGTGAGATCTCACTTTCCCCTGATGCAAGTCAGGACAAATATCATAGCATATCATGATGCAACTCATGTACATGATAAACTCCTTCTAAAATAAGCAGCAGATTTTGTGAGATGTAGATTGAAGTGACTAAGCTTAAAGTGAAACTATGGCTGAAACTCTACCACTCATATGTGTATTTTTCCCAGATACACGCACATAGCCGTATATATAACGTTAGTGCCAGATCTGTAACGTATCTTCTTACAGGAGTCCTTGGAGAAAGTACAGTGGTGCCTCGCTTGATGATGATAATCAATTCCAGCAAAATCACTGTAGAACGAAATCATCGTCAAGTGAAAGTAAAAAGCCCATTGAAATGCACTGAAAACCGTTCAATACGTTCCAATGGGTGAAATACCTCACAGTCTAGCGAAGATCCTCCATTGGGCGGCCATTTTCTGGTGCCTGTAAAGCAAGCAATCAGTCCTAAAACACAGCGGGGAGCCATTTAGCACAGCGGGCAGCCACTCTGCTGATCAGCTGTTTTAAAACCATTGTAATGCGAAGAATTGGTTCCCAAAGCAGGGAACCAACCGTTGTAAAGCGGATTTTCCCCATTTAAACATTGATTTGCGATCGCAAAAGCGATCACAAAAACCTCATCGTTAAGCAGATTCATCATGGAGCGGGGTAATTGTTAAGCGGGGCACCACTGTATTATAAAGAACTTAACACAGCAGGAGTGCTGGGGAAAAATCGTTTTTATATATTTATCTCCAAATTCATCTCCATCTTCCAAAGGAAAAAATTAAGAAAGCCATAAAAGAAAATTAGTATAAAATTATTTATTTGCTATAAATATCTCACTGTCCAGCCAGGAAACTCAAAGCAGTTAATATAAAACATTAAATACAACCATAATGGCCAGAATCCTAATAGATATTGAATATATGCATAAGAAGAATTGCAGGTGTTGTTGTAGCTAATTGGTGAGTTGCGACTCATATGTCAGTCTCGCCCCTGGTTGTGCTTTCAAGCACACACCCAACACCTTGTCATCCCTAACCACATGAACTTCCACTAGTTATCTTCTGCCCAAATATAGAGTATGATTCTGACTCTTATCTAAAAATCAGAATTAAAACCACCATTTAAAGTCAACAATAACTAAATCAGCTAAAGCAAAAAAATAGAAATCATACACATAATTAAAATTATGTAATAGAGCAAACTAAAAGGAGGGCATGGCGTCTTCAACGGGCACCATCTATAAAAAATGCTGACAATTAAGAAATACTGATAATCTTCTATTTCAAGTTAATGTCCTCCAAGGGAGGAATGGCGAAATACTGCAAAGATAGGAAGCAATCTCTTGCACCAAATGCACACACAGAATAATACACAGGATATGTGCACATCACTTCTAAATTTTAAAAAAAACCCTCTAAAAATAACATAATCTGTTGTGCTTCTAAAGAAAAGTGCCTCTGCACCACTATTAGACAGATAACTACTTGACATAGGAATGTAAACAAAGCTGTTAGAGATGACAGAATTTTTTTTCTTGCAAAGGGAGCCCCAAGTTTATGCACATGGATTTGCCACAAATCTCCCACTGGCTTTAATGAGCACTACTGCAGTCTAGGTGTACCACCTATGACAACACACCAAAGCGAAGCAAAACCCTACAGGTAAAGGTAAGGTATACCTTACAGGTATATAATTTGTAGGCTATGTGAATTTAAATCTGCTCACATCTACTGGCCATGAGTACCTTTATTCCCTGCCATTTTTTTCTGCTGTTTTTCCTTTCAGCCCTAGACTCCTGTCTCCTGACATTTCGTATTCTCCTCATTTTTCTGGAACGCTGCCTCTTCCAATGTTGTTTTTATATGCCCTTATTTCTCTATCCTTCATCTCCAATTAGTTTCCAAGCAAGTGGGATCAGAGCTACTCAGTCAATCACTGCCAGAGGCCCCTTTGATTGAGACAATCATGATAACAAAAACTATTACTCCATTACAATATAAAGAGCAATGGCTACTGCACAGGTAAATCCACATGTGCAGCTTTGAATCTTTTCAAAAGTGCTGTTTATTTTTTCTTTTGAAAACAAAACGTGAACTGCCCATTTGAAAAGATTTATAATGCCTAGCATAATTTTTCATGATCAGGTTTCCAATATTTCAGTCGTTTAGGTATGTGGCTGTGCAGCCAGACATTGGGAACTTGATTCCCCACTGTGCGTCCTTGATAGGGGCTGGAGTCCATGATCCATAGGGTCTCTTCCAGCTCTGCAGTTCTAAGATTATACATACATACTGTGATTCTGTTCTAAACACCCCGTGCCCCACCCTTTGGGGCGGCTTCTCAGGTTATCTTGTGACGCACAGGAGCATTCTTGTAAGTCATACCACTTCACCAAGATGCATGAATTATGCACATAGCCATCTATGCTGTATACCAACTAAGCTAAGTTAACATGGCACAAAACAGACTTCAGCCAGAGAATGAGGAGGCACAATTAATATCATTGTCATCCTTACTCCTATCTTTAGGTTTACAACGGTGCTGTTTGGCCATAATGCTACTGTATGGGTTCACATTAATTGAATGAACTTTGTGTGTTGTGAGCTCTGCCTCTTCTCTGGTTTTGGAGAAGGTCAGAAGCTTTGGCTTCACATTTTCAGCCAGCTACAGTTTGTCATTATTTCTCAACCTAGCCAAACAGCCTTAACCCAGCCAAAGAAAATGCTAGGATCCTATTTAACATGTGTTTCTTCTACAGCCAGCAGAACACTGACTCTCCGATCATAGTTAATTTTTGACACCTTGTCTTTTGCTAGAGTATCTATGCATAAAAACAAGTGATTGAACAAGAAGTCTTATAGCACTCAGCATGTCTCCTACTTCACAGCATGATGTCTCATATTTTAAGCAGCAACTATATAAAACTTTATATGGTAGAAATAAATAGACTGACAAGTATATTCAGAGTCACTGTTTTCAATAAATGGAAACAGTGCTAGCCAAAAACTGACTGTCTAATTTTTTACAACAAATGTCCATTGTTTCCCTGTGGTATGCCACTGAAAGTTTCCCAAACGTGCTTTAGATTCCTATCAGAATTGCTTGCAACCAAGTTGCTTTAAAACAATACTTCATTGTTACTTTAATGTAATACAACCAGTATGTTTGGCTAACCTTTAATCTTGGGATTGTAGCATAAGTTTTTAAGCTTCAGATCAGAGTTTCTGTTTTCTTAATGGTATACTTGAAGTAGATACTAAGTTATGGTTAAATAGAAACCATCGAAATGTTGCTACGCTCTCCCTGATACTTATTTAAATTTACAATGTTTCCTTCTGTGACCTGTATGTAAACTTTAATTTCACTTAGCTTCACAGGCAGCCAACATACAGGGGTAGAAATGTGGTGTAGTCTTTCCAATACCCTTACTGCAGTGAATCACAAATACATATAAAATTATACAGTGGCGCCTCGCTTTACGATTGTCACGCATTACGACGAATCTGCTTAATGACAATCTTTTTTCGATCGCAATTGCAATAGCAAAACGATGGTCTAAATGGGGGAATTTTACTTTCGCTTTAGGAACCAATTCTTTGCAAAATGACGTTTTTAGAACAGCTGATCGGCGCTTTCAAAATGGCCACCGAGTAATTAAAATGGCTGTGTTTTGGGATGGATTCCTTGCTATACAGGCAGCGAAAATGGCTGCCATATGGAGGATCTTCGCTGGATGGTGAGTTTTTACCCCATAGGAACGCATTGAATGAGTTTCAATGCGTTTCTTTCTTTATTGCTTTACGATGTTTTCGCTTAACGGCGATTTTCCTGGAACGGATTATAGTCGTTAAGCAAGGCACCACTGTAAAGGCTGATGATCTACAGGCCAACAAATGACTGAATACTCAGTCTCTTAAACTTTATCTGTTCAACTTTCCTCCAACAAAGTATTTTAGCCATGGACTGCAAATTCTGTAATAGTACACATGCATCTTCACAAGTAATATTATTTTGCCACCTAGTCCATGTAAACTACTAACTTTCTCCTTTTGTGATGGTCTTGATATAGGAGTTCATACTATTTCCATTCACAGTTTACTCAGCACAGCCCAACGCAATGAGAATTTGCATTACGAAATGCAAATATGACTAAGCATCATGGGATTTCCATGATTTGCATGATCTGCCTTTCTTGTAGTTTTTAATCTTTTTGTTATAACACATCTTTCTCCATGACGTCAGTGAATGCAATTCAGGTCCAATCACAATTAAAGGCTCATGAAACACAGAAAATAAATACTTTGGGTTTCTTCTCCCCACCCAAACGTCTTCACTCTTCCACAGCACACAGACAGCAAAGTTAACCTCCTTCAAAACCTCAGAAACAGCTTTACCTTTCTACACTCCTCCTTGATTTTCTATCAACCCTTTTAAAAAAAGATTCATATTTTAGAGTGGTTAGCTTTTTCCATAGTCAGCAGACAAATTTTCTCAACTGTCTCCTTATTCCAAAGCTTCTCTATAAATGGATGCAATATTTCTGTTTGGCCTCTGCAGCGTATTTAATTATTTAAGTCAATTTCAATTATTTTCTTATACTCACTGTTGCAGTGTTTCATAGCCTTGCTCCTTATACAGTAATTCTTGCTTCATCTGTGAGAGTTCCCTCTTTAGTTTTTTAACCTTTGATGCAAAAATAATAGATTCTTTTAAGACAGCAGGGCATGTGCTGCAGAACAATTAGCACAGAGACATGTTAATAACTAATTCACTCTATCTGATTCTTGGTTAGTTGTGGCATCTCAGATATGTCTTGTTCCCCCCACAAGTTTTTACAATTTGATAATTTAGTAACTTAATTATAACAAAAAAAATCTTTAAAAATATAACAGTTTAACATTAATGAATTAAAACTCTTTAACTATTTAATGCTAACTCATTGGGTCTAAAACTAAGGTTTCAATGCTCTGTTTCTTCCTCTGTAGCTAGCACAGAAACAAGCAGCTTGTCATGGAAGGGAGGGAGTGGTCTTCCTTTGCCGGCCCTTCCTCTTGCCTGAATGGAAGTTGTGTTCATCCATTGCTACCAGCGATTTATTAAATAAAAGCCTGCTTCCTATATCTGCCTATCTTTATCTTAGGAAAGGCAGGGAGGCCTCACAAGTTGCTTGGCTATGTTGGCACAGCAGAGTAGCAGTGGGACTGGTGCAACAGCAAACAAAGCAAAGTTTATATTAGAGCTCTCCAGCAAGGAATATGTAACTCTCCAGATGCTGTTGATTAAATTCCTGCCATTCCTAAACAGCCTGCCTAATGGGGGGGGATACTTCGAAGAAGACAAGACTGAGAAGGCCCCAGGTCCCCTATTCCAGCTCTGCAAGACCTGCCCCATACATGTCCCAATCTACAAGTTTTGTTCAAATTTAGTGAAACACTGGCTGCCCCTGAAGGCACAAATGTGAAAGGATATTTCTCCAGCTGCCACAGAGTTTATTCAATTAATAGGAAGAGGATAGTATAGGTTAATTGGGGGGGGGGAGAGGCAGCACAGATTCACTGAATGCTTTTCTATGTTAAAATAGCCATTATAGTGCCAATATTTAAATGAGGCAATAGAAGAGAACCTGCTAATTACTGTCTGATAAGCCTACTTAGTCAAGGGGACGTGGTGACACTATGGGCTAAACCGCAGAAGCCTGCGCTGCAGTGTCAGAAGACCAACCAGTTGTAAGATCGAATCCACGTGACGGAGTGAGCGCCTGTCACTTGTCCCAGCTCCTGCCAACCTAGCGGTTCGAAAGCATGCAAATGCAAGTAGATCAATAGGGACCACCTCGGTGGGAAGGTAACAGCGTTCCGTGTCTAAGTCGCACTGGCCATGTGACCACGGAAGATTATTTTCGGACAAAACGCTGGCCCTATGGCTTGGAAACGGGGATGAGCACCGCCCCCTAGAGTCGAACACGACTGGACAAAAATTGTCAAGGGGAACCTTTACCTTTTTTTAAGCCTACTTAGTACAATGAGTAAGTTATATGCAAGATATCTACTGGGGAGGCTTTCAGACTGGCTTCAAGCAAAAAATATATTGACCGATGTGTAGGCGGCATTTAGGCCAGGAAAGTCTATCTTGGATCATGAGCACCGCCCCCTAGAGTCGAACACGACTGGACAAAAATTGTCAAGGGGAACCTTTACCTTTTTTTAAGCCTACTTAGTACAATGAGTAAGTTATATGCAAGATATCTACTGGGGAGGCTTTCAGACTGGCTTCAAGCAAAAAATATATTGACCGATGTGTAGGCGGCATTTAGGCCAGGAAAGTCTATCTTGGATCAGGGCTTTATTCAACAATATATACAGTAGCTCATAAATACTCCCCTCCACCAAGGAGGTGCCTTGTATACAGCCTTTATTGATTTTAAGTCCGCCTTCGATCTTATCCCAAGAAATAAACTTTGGGCCAAATTTGAATCTACGAACATAGAGAAACGGCAGCTTCTGCTAATGAGATGACTATATGAAAATACCCACCTGAGAGTCCTCTCTAATCCAGCTGGAGTTCTATCCAATCCAATCCCAGTTTTCAATGGGGTTAAACAGTGTTGTATAATGGCTCCCAACTTGTTTAACTTCTATATTAATAACATAGTTGAAGATTTATCTAAGCCTGAATTTCATCCCCCCCGCAAACTGCACTCACATCATGTATCAATGCTGCTTTATGCAGATGATGCAGTTCTACTCTCATTAACATGTGTGGGACTGAGAAGACTCTTGAGGGGGCTTTCTTCCTACTGTAATCGAGAGCAGTTAATAATTAATTACCAGAAGACCAAAGTTCTTGTGGTGAATAGAAGAAGAGTGAAGCACAATTGGGCTATCAATGGTCATCCCATAGAGCAGGTTTATAGCTACAAATACTTGGACATAATTTTTCACACCTTGGGTTGCTGGGGCCCCCACATAAAGCATGCAGCACTGAATGCTCATAAAAGTGCAGTGGCATTAACATGTCTTCTTGAGGTAGTTCAAACCAAAATATTTGAGATCTATTCTGATCATACCCCCCTGTACACCTAATGTAGCCCTTTGTTTGGAAGCTGGCCTAATTGCCATAAGAGCACATGCCATATGTTTAATTACTGGCTAAAGTGTCTCTTCTCTTCAGAAGGCTTGGCACAGATGTTACTTTTTGACTCCTTTCAATCAGAATGGAAACTACAACTTACAAAAGAAATAAGGCAAATGGGTTTTTCCACCAATGTTCTTTTGGCAATGAGGCAAAAGCTAAAGTGCTAAAGCGCCACTCAAACAAAGAACCTGGTACATAGAACTTCAAGAGCATATGAGCCAGTCAGGCAAATACAGTGTTGTTGCTAATAATACCTATACAATATCTTCATATTTGGCAAGTACAATGTCAACAAAGACCAGAAGAGCCTTCACATTAGCAAGACTTAATGTTTTACCCTCTAAGCTCATGGAGGGAAAATTTCAACATACTGTATACCTATCTTGGATTGCCTGTGTCCGTGTAATGATGGCCAAGTGGAAACATGTCCTACTGTACTGTCTTTTCTATAGAGATCTATGTACCAACCTCCTGAGCCCAATCATTCTCAGATATCCAGGGAGACCTGATGAATCTTACATCAAGTAACTTCTTTCCAATCAAGACTCCCTTATTACATGCTCTGCAGCAAAATTTTGTGCAGCAGCAATGGCACAGCACTCCCTTACAGTCGCCTGAGTTCACAGGTTGACTAGTTTTAGCAGGAGGATGGTTTATTGTCGAGCATAGAGAAAGGTTGTGGTCCCAACCGAAGGGAGGAAATGTTTACAAATCTTTACAAATATGTAGGAAGGACTCCCTACAACCCAAAGACTCTGTCCAAACCAGTTTGCCCTAGACAATCTAATGGTTCAAAGGATAGCTATAAGAATGCTGTATTTGATTCTCCCCATATTTTATAACCAGTACATAATTATCATATCTGTTCATGCACTTTTAAAATTATCGTATCTGTTGTGCACTTTTAAAACTGCATTTTATATATTTTAGCCATAAATATGTTTTATGAGCTGGTCACCCAACTGTAATAAATAAATTAAAAAATAAATTCAATTTTCTATGTTAAAATATCTCTTCATGCGGAAAGCTGAAATTTCATGGAAAAGAATAAACCAAGCCTTCTTCTTTGTGATAGACCAGCTTTTCATATGCTGGGTGATGGTTTCTAATGCGGGCCAAAAATGAAACATATCTCTAAAAAACAGCCACATACATTTTTCTTCTTAACATGTACACACACACCGCATATATACAAAGAAAACACTTGTTTATGCATGTATTGCATGCCTCATATCCCCACCACATTCAAATGCATTTTCCAATTGTGCCATCCATCCATCCATCCATCCATCCATCCATCCATCCATCCATCCATCCATCCTTCCTTCCTTCCTTCCTTCCTTCCTTCCTTCCTTCCTTCCGCTCTCTATTTCACATTTAGACTCTTGGTTTATGCATTGGGGGTATTATTCTCTCATATTTTATAAATGAGATATAAAACAAGATAATTTGTGACAAGGCTATCATAAGTCCCCTAAAAGATACAATCAACTTCCCCTAAATTTTATCTCCTACAAACTCAGCATGGCTTGACAATGTTTGCTGTATCTTCATATCTTTCAATAAGAAGATTTATTTATTTATTTATTATTTTATTTTATTAGACTTCTACCCCACCCATCTAGACCTAAAGTCTACTCTAGGCAGCTTACAAATTTAAAAACAGGAAAACCAATAAACATATATACTATAAATCCAAGATGGCAAATATGCCAGAATTAAGATAGGGCAGGAGGGAAAGCCTGCCCAAATAGTCAGGTCTTAACTTTGCTCCTGAAAACACCCAGGGAGGGAGCCAGGTGAATTCTCCATGGGCAAGTTGTTCCAAAGGCGAGGGCCCACTGCTGACCAGGCCCTGTTCGTCATTCTTTCCTTCTGGACCTCCCTCGGCGTTAGGCCTCTCAGCCACCCAGCCTGGCTGAAACAAGTGACTCTGGCAGAACTGGGTGGGAGAAGGCACTCTGCCAGATATCGAGGTCCTAAACTTTTTAGGGCTTTATATGTAATTGTAAGAACTTTGAAATTAGCATGGAAATGAATGGGCAGCCAATGCAAGGCAGCCAGAGTGGGGGAAATATGATGGTACCTTTTCACTCCAGTAAGAAATCTGGCCACCACATTCTATACCATCTGAAGTTTCCGCACCAGTCTCAAAGGCAGCTCCACATAGAGCGCATTACAGTAGCCTAATCGTGAGACTACAAGTGCATGGACCAAAGTGGTGAGTGCCCCCATATCAAGATAGGGACGCAGCTGGGCAATCCGCTAAAGGTGGAAATGTGCAGAATGGACCACTGAACTTAAAACCGCCAGGCGGTTACATATGAATTAACTAGTGTCCATGTCATGTCCCTAATAAATAGGATGGCATAGCAAGTGGAATACATATGGAGGCAAGTAGGCAAGTATCTTTCCTGTGCTCCAAACCATGTATAAACCAGGCCCTACGGTTGTATTCTATTTTTAGTATTGTCAGTCACTATTAACATTATTAACATTCACATACTAGAAATCCATCAGCTTTTGCAAGTTCCACTTTTGGATATATTAATATTTATGGTGAGAACTAACTGTTCAAGAAAGGACTAACTGTTCCTAGATGTGTACAGTATTTATAACAGTGTTCAGCTATGTGTGCTAGCAGACCCTCTTCGTTTCAACAGTATCAGCTTCAGTATCACACATAAATAAGCCCTCGTTACTATTTGTCAAACTCAAAGGAATCCTATCTTCCTCTTGATGTTCACAAACAAGCAACTAATGTAAAAGACATGCCAGATCAAAAGACACTTCTTTATTTGGATAACCTTGTTACAGTAATTAAACCTGAAATTCACATTTACTTGCTAAGTTAATTTGTCACTGGTTATGTGCGTATGCCACCTGTTCATATTTTAGAGAGACAGCACCTGGTGACACAGGCTGACAGAGAAAGAGGGAGCACAGAGTTAAGTGGGAAGGATTCCCAAAGGCCACTTTGGGGCAGAGGGGCTGGGAGAGAAAAGTTGGCAGTACAGCAGAATCTACACTTTGCTAACTCAGGATCCAAGAAATTTCCCATCTGGCAGTCCAGACTATATATACTACAATATGAACTGCACTGGAAAATTAAAATTTCTGATCAGGTACCAAAATCACATCTGAAATGTGCATCTCTGCATACTACCAATGAACATGAAGCCCCTAAACCAAAGGCTATGGTTTTATGCTTGACCTTAGCCATACATTTGAGAAGTGATGGTTATGTTATTAACACTGTTGCTGTTTACAAAACCTGGCTTCACATAGGTACATGTGTTCATTGTGAGCAAATGTTCGGTTTGAATATCTGAGCATTTCAGTATCTGGACCAAAAAAATCTGCAAAAAAAAAACACCATATGTAACATTTTACAGTAACTCTCAAATGAAGCATTCTTACCCTTAGTCTTGTAGTGGAGATTTCTGCCTTCAGGATATCAGGATCATACTTAGTGCTGGATGATGAGCTTGAGAACACTTATTAAGGGGGGAAAAGGAGGGGGAGAAAGAGAGTGAGAGTGAGATAACCAGTTGGAAGATCGTTCTACTGTTCCATCCTTAAGGACCTAATATTTTTATAACTTTGCTCAATAACATTAACCCCTCACCTCTTGAGATTAAGGAGGGATTTGCACATAATACTAAGACAGACTTCAGCACTAGATGCACTAACTGGAATGAGCCCAATCAAAGCCTTTCATTAAGACATCCCCCTGCCTCTCATCCTCTGAAGCTCGGTGGAAAAAGAACTCTTGCTAAGTTTAACTTTCACTTTTCATGAAAGTTGGCTTGTTACATTTGAAGCAGAGGTTATAGTATTAAATGTACTTGTCTCTGGCCAAATGGCTAACATCATCTAATGTTTAAAGTTGACTTGTTTTGAAACACAACAGCACTTGCTTTAAACCACAAGCCAGCTTTTGTGCAATCTTCATTGGAATAGTACTCTCCGCCATGTGGAGGACAGGCAAGGGGAAGTCCAACCTTTGTTCCAACTCATACTTACAATGCTAAATTCTGTCGTAGTCTTACGGAATTATGATTACATAAATATTAAAAGTCCTGCTGGTATTTGCTTTCATGGACTAGATCCCACTACATTGGAATTCTTTATACAGTGGGGTCTTGACTTGAGAACTTAATCCGTATTGGAAGGCGGTTCTCAAGTCAAAAAGTCTGTAAGTCAAGTCTCCATTGACCTACAGTGCATTGAAAACCGATTAATCCCGTAACAGGCCGTTTTTGTTCAATTTTGGTTTTTTTCTGGTCTGTAAATCAAATCTCAGTCTGCAAGTCAAACCTAAGTTTTGTGGCCAGAGAAGTCTGTAACTCAAAAAGTCTGTAAGTCAAGCCGTCTGTAAGTCAAGGGCCACTGTAAAGATCTATTATTCCTGCATACAGACACTACAGTACTACTCAGTTGAAATCATCTCCCTTTTTTAATGTTTGAGGCTCCATATGTTTCTGATACGTCATTCAGAATACTAGAGGATTGTGATCCACATTGTCTGCTGACAAATGTTGGCTGTACTGTAAATGCTGTATCATTAGCCTCTTAATTTGGCTCTAGATATGTGAGAGAAAGTTTACGTCTTTGGGACCCTCCTTTTCTTCTCTGCAAAACTGAACTTTAAAGAGACTAGCATATGACTCATTTACTACCCCACCCCCATTTACCCTGGCAAACAAATGAACTACCATATTCCCAACCGACTGCTGTGGCTCACAGAATCAGAAGACGATTTAACTACTGTACCAGCAGTCAGTCTAAGTCTTCCTCTCTCTTGAACTGGAAAAATGGAAACAAAAACACAAAACAGAGGCAGAGTATTATGTTACAAACAGCATTCTTGTCAGATACTTACAGCTTGTTCGAGAGCTAGATTTCTCCTTATAAGCATCATTCAACTTCACATATTCATCTAAGGCAAGTGCCAGTCTCTGTTCTTTCACATGGTACAATTCTTTTTGAGTATTAAGTGCATCTTGTGCTACTGTAAGGTAATCTTTTAGCATTTTCTCTTGTTCTTGCCTCCATTGTTTTCTGGGATCCTCTATCTGTGTGGTTTCTGCAGAAACACAGTTGCAAAAGTGTTCATTTAGTTAAAGCACCTTCTCTGCTTGTATAAAAAGCAAAGCAATCTGGAAGAAGCAAGGCCAGCTGGATATGTCAGTTGCAGCATTAAAGATAACATGAAGGATAACATAAACCAGCACCACAGTACATTCAGAACCACACATAGGCTTTCACCACTGTCCAACTGAGGGGATAGCCTGACAACCTCTTCTTTTAGCAGCGTCTCAGAAAACTGGGATGATATCCAGGGAGGGTTCAGTGTAAGTGCACGTCCTTATGGTAGAGGTCTCCTTATATCATCCAGTCTGCAGAAAGTGTCTGAGGGAGCAGTCTTGCTGCTGTCCTAAAATATATTACTGAAAGGATTTGAAAATTTCTTAGAGAAGAGGTAGTTTTCATATGTGGTATGTTTTAATGAGAGACAATTATGCTATAACATTTTCTCAAGTCCATTCAATGAGTATGTATTTAACTGTTCCACTTGGCAGGAACAGAATAGCTAATGCAAGCAGGCGAGTGTAATCCAAGGTATTTTAAGAGGCAACAGAGACACATACCTACTTTTTAAAAAGTTGAATCTTCAAGTCTAGATGAACTAGATGAAGAAAGTTGAATATATATATATGTATACAAAATGTATATATGTATATATGTATATATGTGTATGTATATGTATGTATGTATGTATGTGTATGTATGTATGTATATGTATATGTATGTGTATGTGTATGTGTATGTGTATGTGATCTTTGGAGGTGGCCAAAGATCATCTTCAAAAGCAAGAAAGAGAGTCCTTGCACAGCTGTTGACCAGTGAGTTTGATGTTGATGGTAGGAATTGTTCTAAAGTAAATCAATAAACCAGTTGGTCTGTGAGCACTATGAAAAGCTATAAAAGGCTGTGCCCAAAGACTGCTCACCAGTGATACCTTGCCATTCTATAAACAACTATCCAGGGGTACTGCAGCGTTTTTCCCAGGGTCTGGTGTTGTTCAACATCTTTATAAGTTATGTAGATGAAAGAATATAGGGAAATGCCCATGTAAGGGCACATGACACTAAATTGGGAGAGGAAGCTAATACCTCAAGAGACAAAATTAGGATTAAAATGATTTTGGCAGATTGAAGAACTGGGCCAAAAGAAAGAAAATGGACATTCTGTGTTTAGGAAGGAAAAATCAGATGCACAAATTCTGGATAGGTGAGACAGAACTTGGCATTATTGTGTGAAAAGGATCCAGTAGTCTTAGAGAAGCACGTTAAACATGAGTTAACAGTGTGGTGCTGGGGTGTGGGGTGGGGAATATGGACATCAATTGATAAATAGGGTTCAAATCAAAAGAAGTAATGGTTGGATAGGAAAATCTCACAGCTTCTCACTCCCAAAGGGCACTTTAAAAAATAATGTTTTTTTTTCTTTGCAGCATGATTTCTCTGTGCAATATTCCTCTCCCCCAAGAAATCTCACCAATCTTGTGGGTCATGTTTTTTCTGAAAGTGCTAGGCTCAACAGATTACAGTTCCCATAGAGACTGGTGTTTTTCCTCATGGAAATCACCAGAAAGAATACGAGTGGCACCATGTTGTGCAGGATTGTTACAACTCCTGCCAGAATGGCATCTTTCCTGTGTAAGATTCACCAGAAAGGGCACTAAACATCTTGAGAAGGAGAACAAAACTTAAGCTTTTGGAAAATGTTTAGTCAACAAAAGAAGGGGACCTTTTCTATTCTTTTCCCATTTACATTTGAATCCACATCTACTTATGCAAAAATAAAATTCATGTGTGTTTTTTTGGAGGAGAAGTAGTCATAAAAGCAAACACAAAGCATGAAATAGGTTTCATAATGAATCAACAGTCAGAAAGGATAAAAGCAGGGGATGGATGTAATGGTTGTGGTTGTAATTTAAGAGCAGCACTAGTTGTAATGGAAAATAATCTCACAAGAGAGGAAAGTCATATCTACAAACACATTTCAGGTAATTGCTCAGTAGGTTTAAGTCAGGATTGCTCAATGTGTGGCCCAAACTGCAGGAGTAGCCTGCAGAGTCCTAAAACGTGGCCCACATCAACACCGTCCTTGTGACTGCAGGACAAGGACAAAGCAGTTTCAGTGTAGCTTTTCTTTAAAAAAGCACTTACAGACTCAAAATTGAGCAATGCTATTTATTTTCACCTCTCAGAGAAACCTCATACAACCACAATGTTCATATCTGGATATGAAACAAAAACAAAATGAGATATGACCATCTGAATCCTGAAAAGCTAACAATACACTTTCTGAAATGTACCTGTTCAAGGAAAAAAAATAGAATCATTTCAATGAATGATTTCTAAAATATACAGTTTCTTTTTAAAAACAGGCTTTCACTCTATGGCTGTTAAGAGAAACAAGATTCACTGTATGATAGGTCACCAACAGGTATATAAATTAAGGCTACATGGGTAAATTTCAGCCCACTGGAGGTTTCACAGGCCATCTATTCCTAACAGCAGGCTTTTGTACTTTTATATCCACAAGGAAGCAGGATGAGAGCCAATTCTGCTCACATTAAAGAAAAAGGTCATACTTCTACTTCAAGGGAGTGAAGTCAAAGTTGGATATACCACCCTGCAAGCATCTGCAGAACATTTCCTGCCACCTGGCTTTCCTCAAATAAGAGCAATTGGAATAGGTCAGACATAACTCGGCTTTTCCTTGGGTGACAGGGTAGCAAGAGAGCACTGTTTTGGAACTGCTATTATTTGGAGCACACTGGGATGAATGATAAGAGGAAAATGTCTCATTCTGCAGTATTTGTTTTCTACCGAAAGGCACTTAAACAAAGATTCATGGATTAAAACCATACATATCCACTTTTTTTTCCCATTTAAAAAAGCAAATTCTTCTCAAAGAAAACAGGCAAAGATCAGGTCCACACAATACAAGGGCACACAACAATCTGCCTGAACAATTTCAGTGCAATTGGGATGCCATGATGAGAAGCATTTCTCATGCCTCCATCAGGTTTCATCGCAACATCATACCATGGAACTGATACTTATTTTAAATGCCCTTTTGTATAACGCGAACGGCCTTTCTGTGGATCACGAACATGTCTGATAGTAGAAAACAGTAAGCAATTTCTGGCTGCATTGAAACTGAAACCAAGGGAAACTGACAGAAATTGGGAATTGATTGCGGGAAGAGATTTATACTTTTGAATCCATTTGCTCATCTCAACGTCTGGATTAAATAAAATTATTATGCACTTATAGTAAGAGTTGGGGAGCTACAGTTTTATATTCTCTCTGTAGTAGACAGCAGGTTTTCATCTATTAAAAAACTGAGTGACAATGATGAGACTCAGAATAATGTGAAAGAATGGAGTTCTGTTGCCATTCACTGTCTTTTTTGGTAGCCTTTGTTGGAAATGGATCAAAAGATTTAGTGTTATTTGACATAAACTTTCATGGAACACAGGCCACTTCCTCAGATGAAAATTGAGAGAGCTGTACTCACTCTTATAACACTGGTAGTTTTAAAAATTAATATTATGCCCGGATTATTGCATGCTGTGAGAAATGTTAACAAGTTGAAATCTCACTGCAAAACAGTGGGCGAAATTTTGTTATGTAACTTTGCACTGCCATAACCTGGAAGCAATTAATTTAATGTAAATGAAAGCTGCCTATTCCTCCTCTTTTCAGGTTCAAAGGCTCCCTAGAACCCCATTTTGATCTGGAGAAGCCTTTGGGATAGGAGGGGCTTTAATAGAGGAATAGGACCACTGATTTGCTTTTGGTGGCCTGTTCCCAGCAGCAATGATATGGTGGCAAATTTTACTATTAAAGGCTCTTTCCCTTTGTCCCAAAGCTCCCAACAGCTTCCCCACAGCAAAAAGGAGCCCCTGAAAGCTCTGGAACATAAAAGGAGGGGGAACTGGAAGCTTTTAATCATGTTAAATCAAGTGCTTCCAGCGTGTGATCAAAATTATACCTAGCAATCTTACGCCACCAGGATTTTGCCCACTATGTGGGATTTTGTTATGATATGGGGAAATTAATGGAGTCTCAGTTAATTTCCCCCAATTAAAAAAGGACCTAAATCTCTCAATACAGTGGATAATTATTACAACTACATTTGGAGATAATTAGCAAATGGTATGAAAACAAAGCATAGAGAAAAACTGAGCAAAGTGATGTAACAATTTTGCTGAGACATATACCTTGGGTATATTCGACACTGCACGATGAAGGTAATTTTCAACAATATCTCTTTTATGGCATTGCTTGATATATAGACTGTAGTACAAAAAGCCCACAGTCCACTGCTAAAATAATTTATTCATAATGATAAATTTAGCATTAATGATCATCCTGTGGGAATGTATGTTTTATCATATAAAAAAGTTTTAAAATGTAGTGATTAAAGGATCTTACTTAAGCTCAGATGAATTTAATTAATCCTCATGCTCTAGAATAAAATAACCTTTTGTGGGGAGTATTTTCTGATGCCAATGAGAATTCCAGGGTGAGGGTTAATGTTAGGTTTAATGTACACTTAAGAAAGAAGTCCAGTTGCCATGACTAAACTTCCAGATAACCTCACCTGGATGACTAAGACTATTCACAGCTCTATTTGAAGGGTTATCATTATAGCCGAGATCATCAGTTAGGAAGTCCACAATAGGGTGCTATTTTCTTCTTCTCTATTGTGTTCCTGTGTATTGGATTTATAACACTTTCGCATGTTTGCTCAGGACTAAGAGCCACTATATTTAATGGTGCTCCATCTCAAATCAGAGGTCGTAGCTGACTTAAATAGCTACCTTTGCTTGAAGAAGGATGCTGCCTCTTCCAATATATTGCTGAAAAATCACGGTGAAAATAACATGCAAAACCTAGACTGGGTGTGTCGATCTGAGTGCATGAACCAGGATTAACTCATAACATATTCAACCATTTAACCAACAACGTGTTAAAAGAAGACATTCCTCATCAGCACTGAAGA